TGCTCTCAGTGGAGAGTGCTGCACAGTTTGTATCCTGAGAGTGAGAATAAGGCCACAAGCCAGACCCTGTTCAGGTTTGAAGTGCATGAAGGAATGTAGTAGCTGCAATCCTGTAAGTGCCCAGCATGGGGTACTGACCAGACCTGTGAGCTGAAACAGGTGCCAATCATTAACATGCAAATTTGGCAAGCCCACTGTGCAAACTAATAACACCAAAAACAAGAGGGAGGAGGGTGCAGCCTGATAAGCAACTGGCAGGCAGGTGGTGAGATAAAGGTTCCTCCCAGCCCTACCTTTATGCTTTCTGTGAGCTGATTTTATTTCCCACCCAATGCAATCTGTGCAGTGCTCAAATGGGGGAAGTCAATCGTCACTAAGGTCTGGAAGAGAACAGTGCTGCAGGAGGCTGGACACCCCATGAACTGGCATAATCTCAAAAGCAGCCTTCTCCCCCACCTCATAATGAGTCTCCTACCAAGGCTTGTGCCCCAGGGAAATAAAGCAAACTGTTTTGTTCTGGTTTTCTGAGCGTTTCTGGAATGCACCAGCAATAAAAATGGTACAGAAACAGTCGAGTTTTGCACAGAGGTACACCGCATCGGATGTCACAAGAATATGCTGAGCACCATACTCTACACTTTCAGAAGTGTCTGGTGATACTGGGTCTATCCCCCTGAGTTTAGAGGGCCAAACTCAATCCTTTTAGGAAGCTGAGTTCTGATACAGCAGAAATTGGGTAATAAGCACAGCCCTTGGGGAGGAAGGTTGGTGTGCTTATATCAGAAGCACCTCATATGTATATAACTTTGCCTTCCCTTCACCAGTGCTGTAACAGTGACACATGATTCATAGATTGTAAGGGGCTGGAAGGGTGCACAAGTTACCTGCAATGCAATTTCAATGAACTGTTGCTCATTTTTTGCTATCAGATGCACACACACAACTTGTATGGACCGCGTCTGCCTTTTATTAGAATTGCACTGGGCAGAGCACTTTGTTAATAACCAGTGATTCTAATAAGAGCTGGTGGCCTACCATGAATCCCAAGATGTTAAGAGTCCTGGAAACAATCTGCAAAACTCCCAGCCAACTTACAAGAAAAATACTATAGCAGTTTACTGCTTTATTACTGCTAGTACACAATGCTGACTGTCTTTGGATAACACATTGTCACAAAGGTAGAAATGTGCTTATAACTAAACAAGATGCACACACACTATTGCTGGCCTGGGCTTTCCTAAGGCATGCTTATACCTGGATCCTACCATATATAAATGCCGCATAACATAACTTGTAGAGGAGCCCAAACAAATGCATGTGCAGGTAAAGGTGCATGGTATCTAATGTACAATCCACACAACTGCACCTCCTGCCATGCCACATGATCCCAGGCTCTGGCAGAAAGCAATCTCCTGTGACTGGGAGCCCCCTCAGCATCTGTTGTGACCTCCCAGCCCTGTGGGTGCATGAAGCCCCTGGGGTCGGGAGTTTCAGGCTGCTGTGATCTCCCAGCTGCAGGAGTGTATGAAGCAGCTGCCAAGTTCTTCCAGTCTTGAGGGTGTATGAAATTTCCAAGGCTGGGAGATCACAGCTGCACCCTGCAGCTGCTGGGACCCAGTGTCCACAGCTGCCAGGGCTGAGAGTTCCCTCAGTTGCAGGATTTCCAACCCTGGCTGGGTATAGTGCACCCCTGCGCCTGGGAGTCAATACAATGATGCAGCTCCCAGCTGCATCACTGCAGGACTTCCAGCCACAGGGGAGACCCTGATACACTTGCAAATTAAAGCTCAATAACAATAGCAACCGGCTATAAAGTTAGTACTAAAAGTGCACCAATACGTTGGCCCCATATCAGATCAGCACTGATATAGGGAAAATTGACAGTATCAGAAATCGGCTTTTTTTGCCTCATGTGGCCAATAAATGCCCTATGCATATGCGCACAGCTGCAGCATGTACGTGGCCATGAGCACGGCCTGCAGTGTGGAGAACAGCATCTGGCTGGTAAGTCTGTTATAGGGGAAGGGGTGTTGGGGGAGGGCACAGTGAAGCCCCAGATCATCCAGGGGATGCAGGCGGCTTCCACTGCTGCGCACATCCTGGGAGAGCATGGGGGGGCATGTGCTCCTGGATCTGTGTGTGGGGTGAGGACCATGAGCTGCTCCAGGCTCTTCCCAGTGAGGGGCTGCACTGCATTTGGGACTGGGTGGCAGTGGGAGGGGAGCTATGGCAAATTTGGGGGCTGCGGCCCGACCCATAACCCCTACCCACTGCTGCTGCTGCCCTACCCAAGCGCAGCCTGGCCCAGCCCCACACCAGGAAGAGCCTGGTGCAGCCCCAGCCCCAAATCCAGGGGCACACGCCCCCATGCTCTCCCAGGGTGCGCATAGCAGTAGGAGCCATGCCACCCCCCCAGATGAGCCGCAGCTCCATCTTGCGTCCTGCTGCGCCCCAGCTGGGCAGCATCTGCCCCTGCCCCACTCCCTCCCTGGCTGTGGGGGCCTTGATCTGCCCCCCATCCTCATCTTTCCCTCCCACCACTCCTTCCCCCACACCAGACTTATCAGCCTGACACCACTCTCCAGGCTGTGGGGCTGCATATTGGAATCAAATCAGTATCGGGCGATATGGCTCCTTAAAAATTGGCTATCAGTATCGGCCCAAAAAGTCTCTATCAGTGCACTCCTAATTAGTACACATTTTTGGGGTCTAACTTTATAACTGGTTGGAGCTATTTATGGCATTATAGGCACTTTGCATGTGTAGCTGGTTTCAAGGTAATTGAGCAATTAACCTGTTAATTGCACAATACCTATAACATGTAGAGGGGGCCTTTAGAACTTCACCTGATATTTTTCCTGCAAGTCACAGCTACATGGGATAGTCATCCATCTTTTTTGTGGCTATTCCTTCCCACCCCAGAGACATTGGCCTGAAGTGTTTAAACTAAATCAACATTCCACGGGTGTCAGAAATTTAGCAGTATGGGCAGACATGCATACAAAGTGCTTTGAATTCTACCCTTCCCCTCCCCTTTTTAAGAGCTTTTAATTTGCTTTGTTTCAGTAGTATACAGACATACAGCTGCTTGTCAGCTAAAGTATTACTGTGAAGAACACTTCAGGGTTATATTGTTTCATCTAGGGCCATTCTTGATATGATTTGAGCTGATCTGTAGTACTATAACACTGTGTATCATCTATCAGCTCAATTTTTAAAATGCTTTATAAAACTTTAAACATTAAGTCTGTCCAGATTATCAGTTTGCACTCTGGATTCTGAGGACAATAAAACTCCAACCCGTTCATTAGAAGCAAAAAGCAAGAAGGCTGCCCACAGGCAGACAGTGATTTGTTACCTGTACCAGAAGATGTCACTGCAAAACATTGATGATCCACAACAGTATTCAATGGAATTGTAAATAAATTACTTCTTAACTAAGACAGGCAGACAGTCCTCCAGGCATTATGTAAATCAGGAGAGTGCACTTTAGTTAATAAAAACTGAACACAGCTACCTTTTGCAATGAGGATGTTTTTTCATTAGGAAAAGTGATCAGAGGTGTAAACACCTTGGAAAAAAGGGTGACTGCTCTCTTAAAGAGTAACAGCAACACATGCACCAGTGTTCCCTTAGAGAAAGGTGAAGTGAAAAAACAGGCAAAAATGCCTCTTGCAAGATTTCACGTTTATCAGCACTTCATGGCTCCAGATTCAGTTTGTCATTTACGAGTGAGGCTGGTTTTTAACCCAGTGAAACTGAAGGCAGAGTTTTATCCAGGAAACTGGCACTTGTTAGCAATCCTATTTATTATGGATGAGTAAAATGAGACTCATTTGGCTTACATTCCACAGAACTCACCTACTGATGAGGAAGAGGAATAGTAACTTAGTAACCAGACTCTTCATAGACAAACATGGGGAGTAATACCTTTTCAAGGGTCCCTTTCTAACCATAACTAGGCCTGTGCAAAGCTTTGGGTGGTGATTTGATTCGGAGGAGATTTGGCCCGATTCGGTGGCCAAATCTCCGAATCGAATCAGGGGACCAATTTAAAAGTCCAAATCGGTTCAAAGCTCTCTGAATCTTTGGCAAAGATTCGGAGAGTTTTGATGATTCAGACAGTCCCTGGTGGCTGCAGCAGGCAGCTGCAGCCACTCTGAGCTGGTAAGGATTAGGGGGAGGGGGCCATGGGGGGGGGGGACCCCTGCCAGCCCCCACAACCCCCGACTCACAACTGCCCCAGCTCCCAGTACTTTAAAAAAAAGCTCCGGTGATCACCAGGTTCTGCCAGGCAGAGGGGTGATCCCCACTGCCCCCACTGCATGAGGAGCTCGGCATGAGCCCCCCTACAGCTGCCCTGCCTGCCGGGGCTCTGGCCCTTTAAGAAAAAAAAAAAAGCCAAGAAAAGCCCCGGGACTCTCCGCTCCTGGTGCAGCCTTGAGGCTTCGGGGGCTCGTGCAGAATCCCCCATGTGGTGCAGGGATTACCCCCAGGAGCCGTGAGTCCTGGAGTTTCTTCAGGGTTTTTTTTTCTTAAAGGGCCGGAGGTGTCCTGTGAGGGGCACCCACAGAGGGGAGTTTGGGAAGTGGGGGGGGTGGGGGGGGGGAAATGTCGCAGTGTGGGGATTGCCCCTTCTGCTCAGAAGCTCCTGCTGAGCCGGGGCTTTTATTTCCCCCCAAGTGTTGGGAGCTGAGGCAGGTGGGGGAGCCATTGTCGGGCTGAGAGAGGGGTGGGGGATGAACCTGGCCTGGCTGCCAAATCTCTAAATCAGATTCGGCCGAATCGAATCAGGACAGTGATTCAAATCACTGAATTGAGTCACTATTGGCTGAATCCGAAGCGAATACTAGCTGCTTTGCACAGGCCTAATAAGCACCCTTCTCAGCTCCTCCACTTGCAGTTTGCCTGTGGTGCAAAGGACCTCTTAGAACTATATCTCTGTCTATTCACTATGCACTGAGCCTCACTTGGTCACTGATTTCTATACAGCCACATACCTTCCAGTCCACTGGGGTAGCAACCTTCTTGTACGCTGTCAGCTGTAGAGAATCCACTACTCGGAGGATCTCATCAAAGTTCCTGCCAGTGGTTGCTGGGTAGAGGACGGACAGCTTCAGTTTCTTATCTGGGCCAAAAATAAACACCTGTACAGCAAAGAGATGTAAGAAGGATGCTCAGGAAATGTGAATTCAAGGGCTGACCTGAATTTACATGCACCCCAGTACCTTTGTCTAAGCAAGCCTTCCTCTGTTCTTACCACTAATAGGCCCCATGGCTCTGCCTGTCCAGGAAAGCTGTCCTGCACCTCATCCATTTTAGACTGAAGGCTTGGGTACAGACAGCAAGTGCCATCTACAGGTATGGTGCCATTTTTTATTATAAGTGGCATGATCATCAATTTTGGACAAAAATGGGTACCCACATGCAAAAGAAAGGTCAGAGTTTACATTTGTAAAGCATCTCATATCTTTCTGGAATTAATTTAATTCTATTTCAGAGAAAAATTACACAAGCACCAGCCTGAGTATGGTTAAGACACTTGCCTAGAAGGGTGAAAGACCTGGGTTCCCATCCCTGCTCCAGGGACTGTGTCTATATTTCATGTTCAGTTATCGGATGCAATGCACAGATTGTCCCGATTGTCTATCTCTGTTCAGAGCATAGCTAGGTGGCAGTGCATTCACACCTGGTCTACACTAGGGCTTCCACTGCTGCAGTGTCCTATGCTGGGAGAAGGGCTAAGAGAAGACTGTAGCCTGCTGGCGCATGGGTCCAAGCATGCAGTTGATACTCACAACACGTGCTGTCAGAGGCAGGCCATCCTTGTCCCGCTCATCTGGGTCCAGCATGCCCAGCTGGACTGAGAGCTCCCGATTTGCATCAGCAATGATTGGAAAAGGCAGCTTCTCTGTGGGCTCATTGCCATTGTATGCATTGATATCCTGGAGGAAGGGAAGGGAGAGAAGCCACATGGATGCTCATTACTCTGAAGAAGAATATTGGGGAACGTGTTCCACAAAATGCTTAAGTGCACATGAATGTGCTCGGCTGAGAGTAGCAGAGGCGAGGACATGCAGATTCTGCCCTAGGTCTGTGTGCATGTTGGGGGTGGTGGGGGACCCTGAAGTCACATCCCAGTGCTATTGGGACTCCTTGTGAAACAAAGGAAATCATCAGGAGTGGCTTTGGAAAGAAGGTGATGGAAGAGGGATACAGGAACACAGTTACGATGCATTAGTGGTGAGAAGCACTCAGAAGTTGTTTGTTTGCTCTCCCTGGTACCACAGGTGCCCCCAGGCCCCTATGACCTCTCCTGTTTTTCTACTAGCCACTGCCTGGGCCTACTTGCCAGCTGGACATGAGAGCCTCAAGGTAAGATTGCACATGCAAGAAGAGATGCCATCGCCTTCCCCAGCACTGACAAGGATTATATAAATGAGACTGTTTACCACGATAACCTCTGCTCTTTAGCAGAGACTGGATTATTCACTGGGGCTTGTGTAAGGGTCACAAGCTCACCATTTATCCCTCAGTCATACTCAGTGCTGGAGGCCTGCATAGCTAGTGAGTCCAGACCTGCTTCTCCTCTACTCTGACTGAAGTGAATTGCTGCTCAGCAGGAGGGAATCCTTCCTTCTAACTTGTAAGTGGACAGGGGCCAAACGCTGCACCAGGACAAGCTGTGGGCCTCCTGGAATACACCTCCCCTCACTGTACCATGCAGGAGCTCCCCTACCAGTTGGGTCATCACACCAGGTCTCATCCTGACCTAATTGTCAGCGACTGGCATAAGCCCTAAGGCAAGAGGCAGTGGTTCGCAACCTATTTGCCACAATGGGCCACACTTGCAGCTCTCAATGTGTTATGTAGGCTGCACCTACACAACTTACTTCCTGTGTATCCATTTACTGGGATGTCACATGGGGCACAGCAATGTGTTGATTGAGCCATATGCAGCCCGTGGGTTCAGAACCATTGGCGTAAAGGTTTGTGAAGCATGAAACAGATATGGAGCTACAAGAAAATTTAGGATCAGATATTGAGCATTCAACACCTCATTCCTGGGACTTCAAGTCTGAGAATTGCTCTTGCCATTACAAGGCCTAGTTACCAACTAGGGCTAAATTTAGGCCTGGCTGATCAAAGGATTCAAGACTAGCTTCTAGTAAATGAAACTCTGCTCCCTAACCAAATTTGCATACAGCAAGATGACCAAGAACAAATTACTCTGAATAAATTAAAACGGATGATTTGGAACTCATTTTTGTGATACAGCTTCACTAACATTGGGAACAGGCCTTCAAAGTTCTGTTTACATTTTCCACCTATCCATCAGCCACACCCACCTCCAGCGCTAGACATCTTTTGATCTTTGGGATAGTAGAACGAGCAAGGCTAGTTCTACAAAGCAAGGTTGCTTCGAAATGCAAAAGGACAATCTTAGAAACATGGAAAAATATATCAGCACCCAGACTTGGCAAGGAAAGACATATTTTCAGTTTTCATAAACTAGATTTTTGGAATATAATCATGCGTAAGCCTATGGCACTATTACTGCTCAGTACCAATGCAGGATGAACTGGTTTATGAACTAATATGATACTGGCATATTTAAGATGGAATCATTTTTTTAAATTTTTTTTTAGCAGGAACTGACATTGAAGATGGGATTTGGATTTAGCCAAACCATTTATCAAACTCTCTCCAATGCTACATTCAACTGTATGAGTAAAGTTTTTGGCAACTTGCCTTAATGGTGCAGTTCATGTTGCTACAAGATAGTCAATGGCTTGGCAGCACTCCTATTTCAAAACTCTATCAGCAGAGTGACTGGCAACATTTAAACAAGTCTAAGGCAAGCTGACTGTTTTCCCAGAATATAGGCTTTCTTAGCCAAGGACACTGACCCAGTTTCTCTCTCCAGCACACAAGTCTCATGATGTACTTAGACAGAGGGCTTTGACTAAGTTGACTGTTTCCATTCTTTATCCCATCCATCCCCTCTTGGATGACAGAGAGCAGCCTAGTTGGAAAGAGCAAGGAGGGAAGAGATGACATTATTTGAAAGTACCAGCTGGTGGGTCAAAGCAATCAAAGGTAGCTGATATCAGTGGGTTTCTTTCATTGGCCACTGTACTGGTCCTCTGGTGGTAGGTCACAGCAGACTCTTTCCAGCTAAATTCAAACATCGAGTAGCAATGACTCCAAAATTATTAAAAGTGGAGTACTGTTAAACCACTAGCATGTCTGTAAGCAAGCCAAGGGGTAGGGGGAGGGTGTGGCAGAAAGATTTCTTTAGTCACTACTCTGCAAGACTTGCTTCTTCCAAACACCTCATCCAGTCAACATTTATATTATGCAGACAATGCTTCAGAACAATTGTGTTTCTGAGCTGAATGCTGCATAATTTTACTGTACAAAACCTCATCCTTTTTCCTACCCTTCTCAGTCAGGTTGCTGATGCTGCTCACATCCTATACAGAACTAGGCTGGAAGTCCTGAAGGCAGAGATAATGTCTCTTGACCTTGCCCCAAGTCTCCTTTCCTAAAATGGCAGCAGACTCAACTTCAGTTTAGCCTTGCCTTGAGATGGTCAGTGGTTAATACACCAACAGTCAAACCACCTGGAGCGTGAGGAAAAAGATTCTTTCTGCTGAGGCAGGAGGAGGGTATGCATATAGCAACCCACCCTCCTTTCTAGAGGCTTTGGGAGGCAGCCCAGTGGGGCAAGGGCAAAGACTGAGAGTCAAGAGACTTGGGTTCTTGTCCCAGTTCTGTCACTGACTGTCTATGCAACTCACCAGTCAGCCACCAAGCAACGCAATTTCTCTGTGGGTGATTTGTAACCCAGCTGTGTAGTTTGAGACTGATGGATAAAGCAGGAAGCTTACTCCTTCCATCAACTGTATGGGATGAGAACATAAGAACTGTCATTTACTGGGTCAGACTACAGGTCCATTTTGCCCAGTATCCTGTGTTCTGTAGTGGCAGACAGTGTATGCTAAAAGGGAGAGTGAACTGGGTCTGACCAGGGTTTTTTCCACTGTTCCCTTCCTACTTGCAGACTCCAGAATTTAGGGTCTAAAAAGTTCTGATTCAGAGGCTGCATCTCTAAATCCCATGCTTAATAGCTACTGATGCACCTTCCCATTTTCAGCCAAACCTTACTAGTTAAGCTGATGAAAAATGCCTGTAAACTGCTTTTGAGGTTGATACTGTGTCCATTGTCCCACAGCCCACAGCCTTTCACTAGGTCTCCCAACTCTGGCAAAAAGTCATGCTTCTAATGAACAAGCTTTATAAATATAACCCTGACATTTCAGCAAGGTTCCTGCTTCTCCCCCCAGTGTTTCAGTTGGTGTATTTGGGGTAAAAGATCAAATGACTTCCTTATAGTGTCTGTTTAGCCAGTGGCACAGGGAGCCTAAGAACACACAACATGCATGCTATAAAGAACCTCTAGTGCTAGAAGGAACTGGCACTGATAAACAAAGTTCTTTTCCATCCAGGGATTTAGAAAGTGCACTGAGTCAATTATGAGTCTTTGGACTTAAAACACCACTAGATCCCTGAACGCAACTCCTAAGTTTCCTCTTGGTCATCTATATGCCTTGCTGTGTGTGTCATCAAGGAGATGCTTCCTGCAAAAAAAAATGTTGGGGCTTTAAAAGCGCCACGTGGTCAAATCAATAGTGTTTGGATCAGAAATTACCTTTCTTCTTCTCAACCGTGTATAAACCTCCAGGCACTTCATAAAGTTTTGCAGGACAAACGATACTGCTCTACTGGAAGTTTGCAGTGTAAAGTACAGTGCACTGCTGACCATTTCTGCCTGTTTATTTTTAGCAGCAGTCTTGAGGCCTACGTTTCTAACATTGCTACGTATCACATGTACTTGGCAGGAGCGAAGGGTTTAACGGATAAAGAAATGGCTTTGTGGACTTTCGTTTAAACCTATGTGGCATCTGGCAGAAGTCCAGTCGACACTACAAGAACTTCATTTAGTGGCTTCAGTTCAGGCCAATGGGGGTAGCCCGCACCCCCACTATGATAATACTCACAGTTATTTAGCAATCCAAGGAGACTGGGGAAAGACTTCAATGCACTTCCTGCCTGGGGCCTGGGCCTTACCCATTTCTGGATCAAAAGCTCATTAGCACATCAAAGATAAAGCAATAAGGAAGCTGCCAGATTACAGAGTCAAAGGAGGGGATTTTTACTGCTCTCAGTAAAGGAAGCTTCACAGCACAAATACCTAACACACCATCAAAACTGGAAAATAAAACTGAAATCCATGATAAGATGTCTCTAATTCTTTTATATAGGAATATATCATGGTATCTATCACGGGTTAGCATAACAACCCTGTAATCTGTTTACAGCTGCTGACAACTCCCAGAAATAAAACCTCACTATCATATTATACCATCTAGATAAAAGTAGGCAAACAAAGGAGAAATAAAGCTGGTTGGTTAGCACACAGATTGGAACTTGGTTTGGAGAGCTCTGCTCTGGTTTGGGGAGCCAGTTTTGTTTCCATACAAATACAACTACATAAAGAGTAATACATAGAAGTGGTAGTTCCCAGACAGATCCCTCTCTAAACCTGTCTTGCTGGTTCGATAGGCTTTTACTGCATTTGCTGATACCTAACTCTGGACCAGGTAAGTATCATCGTTCAGAGGAAGGTATGCCTGAAGGAAGGAGGGAATGTCCTAGAAGTTTTAATTAAATCCAGTCAACTACAAGTTGTGCCAGCCTTCCCTTCCTGTATTGCCACCAACCTCCTAAAGACCCTTCAAGTACAGCAAACATCTGCAACTCATTCAGTTTCCCTATGGACAGACTTTTCCCTAAGTTCTGGATGATTCTAATGATAGGGTGGCTTTGGGCAACAAAGACCTGAAGGATTAAGTCCTGCTTAGTTGAGACAAGCATCAGATTTTAGCAATTACTGCAGTGACTGTTTGGGTTGAGGAATAAAATCTTAAGGTCCCACTGCATGTGACAACTTCATACCTCCGAACCTGTCTGAAACTATACAGATCAATGGAGCATTCCACTATCAGTGATCAGACAAGGTAAAAGGATCAAAGAACTGACTACCTAAAAGAACATTACAGCTTGGGAAAGGGTCATTTATAACCAGACTGATGCCAGTGACCTAACACCTAGCAGAATAAGCTGGTCTGTACAAAATCAGATTTTCTTCTATTCTAAGCTAAACAGACTGAACTTTTCAAGTCTCTACTTCAAGGAAGGTTTTCTAGAGCTAGAATCACCCTGAGAGCTCTTTTCTGAAACTTCTCCAATATCTTGATGTTTGCTTTAGGACACAGTATTGCAGCAATGGTCTTACTAATATATTGTGCAGAAGCAATGCTGCCTCCCAACTTGCATTCAGTATTCCTCAGTTTATATGTCCAGGGGTTGTTAGCCCTCTTGTCCTAACATTACATCAGAAACCTGTGTTTCATTGCTTATCCACCATATCTATCATCTTAAGGTCCCATCCAGATCTCAGGCTACTGACTATTCTCAGACAAAATCACTTGGATCCCAATCATTTGCATCAGGAAGATACCTCCTGGCCAGTTCCTAGTTTGAAGTAATTTTCTGCCATAGGAAGGACTAACATATGGGTGCCCATACTGAGTGCTTAAGGCAAAATAGATGAGATGGCTAATATAACCTGAACAGTCCTAGCCCAATACATTTCAAACTCACTCCCACTAGGTGCAGGCAAAGTCTCAGCTTCAAAGCCTGATAAATCAGCCACCTGAAGGACAGTGAAGGGGAGGGCAGGGCCAACTCAGCTAAGTCAAGCATCTGCCTTACAAAACTGAAAGTACCTGCCCTCAATAAAATGCTGAGTATACTGATCAGGTGGCAGTGAGAGTCATAAGAAAAACCACAAGTAGCACAGGTTCTCAGATAAAGAATTGGGGCTAGAGAGGAAGATGTTTGTCAGTCAAAGGCTTTAATCCATTAGTCTGCTTCAATTATAAAGCAAAATCACTTCTGTATGCCTGTGATTCAGGCAGCTGAGTGCATGTCACGCGTACACAAAGATACCCAGTTCACTGCTGCCAGAGTACCTTACACCAGGCGAGGTGGTCCTGGACGCTGTCAATAGAGAGGGCTATCATTTTAACATTGCGCTTGCTGAACTCAGGTGCCAACTTTGCTGCCCGGCCAAGCTCCGTTGTACAGACTGGGGTGAAGTCCCGGGGATGGGAGAAGAGAATGCCCCATCTAAAATAGAACAGAGATGGAAAATGGCATTGAGGTGAGTGAACCTCCTGATTAGAAACCAGTGTCAGATGCACTAAGAGAGCTGCAGATACTAAGGATATTGTAAGCTGCCTCACACTTAAGTGAGCTGCTCCTTTCTCTGCTTGTTTGGGGCCTGAAGTGCAAGGAGCTCATAATGACCCTTTGGAGATTCAGAATGCTTTTCTGCTACCCTCCTGGTTTATTCTCATTTCTCCTGTCCTATCCTGCACCTCACATAAACTTTGATGCCTGAGGCCAAGATGGCACATGATACCATGAAGGTTTTATTAACCAAAGAACTAAAGAGATAGGAGTCTCTAGGGTCCCCCAGTTCTTGCCCTTGTCCTCCAAATGCATCACTCCATTTGTGTGTCAGTAGGAGTCACCATACACACAACAGGATTAATCCCTACAATAAATTATACCCCTATAGCTAACAACTTCCAAAATACTCTCGTTACCAAGTCACCTTAATGTAAAACACACTGCAGAAGTCTGCTAATTTACAATCTCATGGTTCACCTTACGTTCGTTTTCCACCTAGCTATGCATCACTAATGGAAACAGCTATTTATAGGCCAGTGTTCAAAAGGCAGCCTTAGCTCTTACTCTTAGTCCTATTTTGTACGAGTATGTTGATTCACTATTTCCAAAAGTGTAATTTATTAACAAGGTCAGACTTCAAATAAATCAGTTACCAGGGATACCAATAGTTAGCAGCTGGCATGTGATGATGCATCTACATTCCTTTGCGAGCAATGATTACAATCCTACCTTCACACATCATTTCTCAGTGACTGACCTTAGAGCACTTTACAAAGAGGGTCAATGCCACCGTAACTATGTCACTGATAGGGAAACTGAAGCCCAGAGAAGAAAAAATGACTTGTCAAAGTCACTCTGCAAGCCACAAGCAGCATTGAGAATAGACCCCTGGTCTCCTTGAGTCTCAACCTAGTATTCCATACATTAGGTAAGGAAAGGACAGTTTGCAAAGTGTGGCTTATTGGGAAACAGCCTACATAAGTATTACAAAAACACCTTCACAGCAGCTGCATAACCAACAAACCCTAAACCGAAACATGTATGCAGTGTTTACCACACAATATTTCTTCACCTCATGGTCAGATTGGTCTGGACTGGGGGGGTTGCCTTCCTTTGTACTGGGAGTGTAGTTCTTTTCTTTGGATCTCTCAAATATATTTTAACAGCCTTTGCAGCAGCAGAATGTTGACCACCATTGTCCCCCTGCTTTACCTGTGACAGGCTAGGGCGTTATGTCTTGCGATTGTCAGGGTCAACCGTGTAGTTTTGCTAATGGATTAGATAATGGACAAACTAATAATAGGATAGGAACGATCCTGCCTTAGGCAGGGGGAAGGACTAGATAACCTCTGGAGGTCCCTTGCAGCACAGCTTCTCCATGACTCCATAACTTCTCTTCCACCCCAGAGCTGAAATCTATTAGTCTGAAATGGTTTATGCAAGCTCTTCTTTATTAGCTTTGGAAACAGTGAGTTTAATGATAAAACAAAAGTCTTTTCCTGGCTGTACTGAAAAGATAAAACAAGTTAGTTACATTGTAGATCAACTAAACCTGAATTACTATGTAACTACTATTGCGGCCAATAAAGTTAGTGTACATTGTTTACTGATGGCTACAAAATTGATCTGTAGCACCATTTAAATATGAAAAAGGCAAATTGCTGGGAGAGGCAAGGCAGACAATGTGTCAGGTTTACTGAGAAGAAAGCATCCAGGGCAACTACTTCAAACTGGAAATAAACCTAACATTGAGCTCCCTTTGCTTAATCTCAGCTGAGTCAGCCACACAGAACCACATGCCCTCAGGTGCTGTGGAGTCCAAGCAAAATACTTTTAAGGGGGTGTACCTGGACACTCAATGGCAGATTCTGAAGTGAAGGGATGCCTGCAGGGATCCAACCTTGTGGACCACAAGTCTATTCCTGAACAAGCAGCCAGACACTTTGCCACCACAAGAGTATTAAAATATCTTGACACTCACCTTTTATGCTAAGTGTGATCTTTAAATCAGTCTAACTGTTGAGACTGAATCATAAAACAACATCCCAGGCTAGGTGAGCGCACGCAGGAAGCCTGGGTCACTCCAATCTCCAAGCTTGCTGTCAATTGAGCAGACACCCCTTCTCATGTCCTCAAATTTGGGCAAACTATTTCAGTGTGTAACTGTGAATCTCTGCTCAAGAGGGGGATCTCCATTTTTCCAAACGTAACTCTTCCCCTCTGCTTTAATTAACTGCCTGCTTCAGTTCTACCATCAAGCCATTTTATAAAATGGGGACAGTGATACTTACCTGCCCCTGAAAGCACGGTGAGAACTACAGAGAAAGAGCTATGCACTAACAGACTGGGCTTGGTTTTGAGCAAGGAACCAAGGCACTCCAGCATAGCCCATCCTTGCACTAGGCCTTAAACCCAACTTCATATAATACCTTGCAGGTATCTATTAACCTTCTGTCCAAAGAGGTCAAAGCACTATGACATACTAATGAATTGAGGCTCAGTGCCCTTGCAAGACACAGGTGGAAACTCATCCTTTGAGGAATTTATTCAAACTAAGATTTGGGAAGGGAATCCAGTTCCCAATCCTCTGCTACACATGCTCAATCACTGGTGCCCAGCCTGTGCCCATGATGGCATCTACAATATGTAGAATTTCTGGTACCTGATTAGAAAATAGGTTCCCTGAACCATGTGTTGACTCTGTATACCCCCCCCGCCCAACTGCTATGAGAAGGAAATGAGAAGCATTGCTTCCCCTCCTGCTACCTGCTCCTAAACTGGGAGAAGACCCAGTAAGACAGAGGAACACTCTGGATAGCTGCTGTCCCTTTGCCTGCTTGCTGCAATGCTGACACAAAGAGAACAGCTCTGGTTCCCCAACTGCTTGCTCATGTATCAGCCAGCAGCATATCACTGGAGCAGAGGATGGCTCCCTTTCTCAACACTTTCCCCTCTAGAGTGCTGCCCTGGGTGAAAGAGGAGAGAAGTTAAGAATCACCAATCAATCCCACCTCCTTGACATTCTGTCCCAGACCCATGTTAAAGCAGCCTGAGGATTCAAGAAACCACAAGCCAGTTGGGGCCAGGCAGAAAACAGATTTTTTGCTTCCAAGCTGCTCCCTGTGCTCATTGAGGTGGAATGGTTTATAATCCAGCTGTCCAGGTTAGCTGTGCACTGAAAGCTAACATGCTAACAGAGGTGGAAACTCATCCTTTGAGGAACTGATTCAAACTAAGATTTGGGAAGGGAATCCAGCTCCCAATCCCCTGCTACACAGAGAGGAGATCCATCCTCAAGCACCATAGAGCCTTCTTTCACCTCTTGTAATGATAGATTTGGCTATGCTGAAAAGGCTCTGCAATACCACTGATTGCTCCCTCACAGGATGGACTATTCCAAGCAGCCCCCCTCTGGGTGCTGCTGGGCTGGGTTTGTACTATCATACTTGGCTTGTCAGGTTGTCCTGGACCAAAGAGCACAACAGCATTGTAAAGCCAGTTATCAGCACAGAGGCGTCTTCAGCCCGAATGAGTTGTGCACAGCTATCACCACATCCTTCATCACCAGATCCAACATGTTTTCTTCTTGTAGCCCAAACACAATGGATTCTCCTGGAATGGCAGATTAATTGTAGCCCCTGTCCAAAGCACCAGCCTACATGCCTGACGCTGGCAGTGACCTTCTTTATGTTTACTCTAAAGTCTCTCCCAGCTTGATACTACCCGATTGCCTTGGAAAATTACTGCATTTTAATGCCACGAGCCTGCTGTGTCATCCCTGACCTGTAAACAATTGTTTATTGAGATGCCTGTTAGTGCAATTTAAGCTAGACAAACATCATACAACAGATTATAGAACAAACTGGCACTGCTGATTCTTTTTCACTTCGGTCACGTTGCTCTGTGGGCTGAGGCTGTTATGAACAGAGTGCAAAGATTAATATTCTTGTGAATTTTCCCTTGGGAAAAGCCAGCTCTAAAAAGGCATATTCATTCCACAGTCCTTCCTCAAATTTGTTTACTCATCTTAAATAGCAAAAATGATACTTGAAATATCTCTTCTTTACCCTTTGGTCTGGAATGATTCATCAGTTTCATTAAAGCCGTAGGAAACCCTATTCTTTCCAAATACTAAAATGGTGTATGCTAGAACATACTATCCTTAGATATACATACTGAAGTGGGGTTCAAGGCTTTGCATTTCAGACTAAAAGAGGTTCCCTCTGAGCATTAAGGAAGAAGCAGCAGGCTGAATAGTAAATATTTGTGCCTAGGACTTCAGGCTTCTTACCTACTGTACTTGTCATGTTCCATCTGGTATGCTCCAGGAATAGGTCAGACTAGCGGTTCCTAATCCATGGGTAACCCACTGCCTACAAGACTGTGCTCCCTCCCCTCCCCCTGTCCCCACCATGTTGTTCATGGTTCCAAGGAAATAAAGAGTTAAAATTCAGGTTGACAGGGAGCCCAAAGTAAAACGCTGCCCACAGTGCACTGTTGCTGCTCAACATTGTTGCCCATGGGTTGGCAAATGTTGGGACAACTTGTCTACGCTCTATGAACACTTCACCCATAGGGTACTTTATATGCACTGAGATGTACTGTAGATCGTGAAAATATCTCCTATGGAAACAAACTTCATGGAACAGTCAGACTCTTTAGCCTCTATAGTTAGCATCTGTCAGAAGCTGTGTACAACTTAATGGAAATGGCCTTCAGAAATATCAAAAGATGCACCAAAAAATGTCTGTTTGACTTTTAACATTCTGCTGCTGCACTTGGAAACTGAAAAACCACAACAGAACTGTTTACTGTGTGAGGGCAGAAGAATGAAAAAGTGAAAATTGTAGCACTGTCATGATCTGGAGACATTAGAGATCATGGCTGTGCCCCCATTCTATTTTGTGGACTGGAACTTAATTTAAAAGAACACA